CCCCAAAACCCCAAAACCCCATTCTTACTAATACAATACGAATCAATGATTTCTTAGTAATATAAAATCTATTATCAAAAAGCAATTCTCTTAAGACCAATATACTAATCAATGTGTTATTGATTAGTTAGGTCAGTTTAATTTTGTATCCTGTGCTGATGCACTTCGTAGGCGGTTCTTTGGAGGAATTCAATGCTATCTTTACCGATTGGATTTCCAGATAAAGTAATACCGAAATCATCATTGGTTCTTCTGAGAAGTAAAGCAACATTTTCCTTGATGTCATCATTGACTTCGTTCATGCAAAGGTTAATGTGCTTGAATTAAACATTCTTAAGCATAACCCAGCCTTGAACTTCACTACCATCAGCAGCAATAGAAGTTTGCTACTCAATATTATCAAGTATTGGAACTGGTTCCTCTGGCTTCTTTGACTGTTTAAGTTTCTTGTTCTTTTCTATGATCTAATCTCTGGCCTTTAGTTTTCCGAGATGAGCCTCAACCTAGTCCTAAGGGAAAGGAATTCTTCCAATTTGATTGAGGATTTTATTCAAGGATTTAGCTTAGAGACTACATTTTGCTAAGCCTAAGTACTCAAGGGTACGATTTAGGTCCATCATATCAGCAATTGACTTTAGAGAAGCCTTGGTAATAGGATTGTAGGAGATATCTAGGACCTTAAGAGTTTTGTTAGCATGAGCTGGATTAGCTGGATCTGGCTTCAATACATGGCATATTTATTTAACATCCTCATCTGTCAAGTTTGAGGCTCTCAAGAATAATACTTAAAGTTTGTGATTTTATTGCAATCTATATTTACGTTTACTCGGAATACAAATAGCACTTACAATTTAGCAAATAGGCAAGATTCAGTAGCCTACTTAGGTTGATAAAGCTAGTTCCTTTAAGCAAACTGAGTTGAGTAATCGTTCTCGTAAATAGGGTTCCAATCAAAGAATAAATGCTAAATTGGGCAAGCTATAATAAATAATTGTAAATTATTATTATGATTACTTTCCTGTGAAAGATAGTCAATCATTTAAGAGAATTATGAATGAGTAAAGCCGTTATTGCTGAATCTAAAATCATAAATTGAGATATACACCATCAATCTTACTTAAGAGTATGAATATTTGGTGAGCTCTGAAGTGCAAGGAACATTACCTTCATTGAGTTTCTGTCAAGTCTGTGCTTGAATAGATTTAAAGTGTTAATTTCGGCATGCTTTTACTCTTCAGCAGCATTTTATTGTAATTATTGTTAAGAATCATGTTACTGTTTCTATTCCTCTGTCATTGAATATACTGCTGGTTTTAGGGCAGGATGTACCTTAGTATTGAACAATCTGCATAACACTTCAACGTCTTCATAGAACTTTCCAGATGGCTTAAAGGTTTTAAGATCAACACCCTCTGTATCGATGTTCTCGTTATCTTTGAATGTCCAAATTTTCTACATTTTTCAATTATTTAATTTTTATAATTTCTAATTGTACTTTTCAATTAGTTTAGAGAATGTCTTGTTAATGTGGGGTTTTGGGGTTTTGGGGTTTTGGGGTTTTGGGG